ATCTTTTCCATTTAAATCTATCCTTCACCCAGCTACCAAAGTGGTTTTCTTAAGTATTGGTATGATCAAGTAAGTCTGATGAATTCTAGTGGTTCTATATCATTTCTAGAAGCAAATACAAACTCCTGTGTAGCATTTAAAGTTCTTCACAATGACCCATAACTTCCAGGACAAACATGAGCAATAAGATGGAAGACCAGCCATTTTCTCCTATCCTCATCACCTCTCAAACATCTCCAAAAGAAGAATTATGCACAAGAGTAAAGCTACTCTAATCCAGCACCCCCTACTTTATCAGCCTCTATGTTCTGGCAGGGAAGTACAACCTGGCAGTTTTCATTTTGGGATCTCTTTCAGGAGGTAAGCAGTAGATTTTTTCAGTTTCTATTTTACCCTCTGGCTCTAGAATATCAGGGCAGCTTTCTTTGATAATTTCTTGAAAGATGATGTTTAGGTTATGGGATCCACCCAGCAATTCTCAACTAAGCACCACCCGTACCCTTGTCCTCACTGTACCATTCTGAGGCAACAAGCAACAAAACTCAACTCTGCCCCCTCTTTTGCCTGTTCTTAGGAGGGTTAAGTTCCAGTAGCAGCAGCATGGCTGTACACTGCGCTACAGCCAGGGCTCAGTCAGAGAATGAAGAAACAGAGGGAATATGGGCGGCGTGCTAGTGTATCTGGGGCTCCACTAAATGAAAGAGGACTAGCATCCAGCTGATGATCCAACAGGCGCTGAGGGCACCTAAAGTTAGCCAAGGTCAGGGTAAGTGGTATGATATGCCCTCATAGGTGAATTGGCAGGAATATCAGCCCAAAGGGAAGGCAGGCAGGTATACACCTAACAAAGAGTCCCCCTGTTCCCAGATCCTTTCCTCATAGTTATTCTACTGCATCTGAAAACTTTGACTCACTTCCAGGAGTGGGGAAACCTATGGCCTCGAGGCCATATGTGTCCTCAAAGCCTAAAGTTTAGGCTATTAATCTCTCATTAACACTTCTGTTTATCAACTTGAGATGGCTAAGAAATATTATTGCAGAGTAACACCAAAATGTTTGCGATTACCTGGGGAGGGGGGAAACAGACGGTAACCACTAATTCCACTTCCTCCCCACAGAATAGATAGCCTGATTTCTACCCAGACTCACCCACTTTTCCAAACCTCTATTTGTGCTGCTAACATTAACCACACAATAAAGATTAGCAGCTGCTACTTTCTCTTAAATAAAATAGGAATAAAAGGTAAAAATGAAAGAGTAGTGAGCAAAAGTGAGGGATACAGTTTGTAAATATAGGCAGTCAATACTGAGAGCTTCTGCTGCTGCAAGAGCTAACAAGCATTTATTGAGCATTTACTATGTGTCAGGTACTGTACTAAGCTCTGAGGATATAAAGAAAGGGAAAATCAGTCACTGCTCTGAAGGAGCTCACAGTGTAATGGGGAGACAACATAAAAAGATTTATGTACAAACAAGATACACAGAGGATAAACTGGAGATAGTAAACAGAGGAAAGATACTAGTATTAAGGGGAATGGGTTTCTTGGAGAAGGTTAGATGTTAGCCAGAATTCGAAGGAAGCCAAGGAGAGCAGGAGATAGTGGTGGGGAAGGAAAGCATTCCAAGCATGGAAAGAAAATCAGTAAAAATACTTGAAACCAAGATATGGAGTGTCTTGTGTGAGAAATAATGATGCCAGTGGTATAGAATACTGGGGGACAGGGGTGGAGAGATTAAAGCTTAAGAAGACTAGAAAGGTATGAGGGTGCTAGGTTGTAAATGGCTTTGGACACCAAATAGAGGAGTTTATAATTGATTCTAGAAGTAATAAGGAGCCACTGGAGTAGAGGGAGGCAAGAGTGCTATGGTCACACTGGCACTTTAGGAAAATCAATTCAACAGCTGTGTAGAGAATAAATCATAGGAAAGAGACTTGACCCAACAGTTGGCTACTGCAATAGTCCAGACAGATTCCAAAGCACTTGGCAAATGACTGGATATGGAGGGCAAACAAGAGTGAAAAGTCAAGGATGACACCTCGGTTGAGAGCCAAGGAAGCTAGTGCCTTTGACAGTAACATAAAAACCAGGAAGAGGGGAATATTTGGTGGGGAAAGATAATGAGTTCAGTTTTGGACATGTTTAATTTAAGATGTCAACGTAACATATAGCTCAAGATATCCAAGAGACAGCTGAAGATATGAAACTGGAGATCAGGAACTAGGTAAAGGCTGGATAAGGAGATCTGGGCATCATCAGCGTAGAGATGATCAGCCCAAAACAGAGCCTCAGGGGACACCTATGGTTAGGGAGGGAGACCTGGACAACAATTCAGCAAAAGAGATTGAGGAGTGGTCAGGCAGGTAGCAGAAGAAACAGGAGAAAGTATTATGAAAACCTGGAGAGAAAAGAATATCAAGGAAAAAAGAGTGGCTAAAGTATTAAAGGTTGCAGAGAGGTCAAGAAGGGTGAAGTTTTAGAAAGGCCATTAGATTTAGTAATTAAAAGAGCACTGTTAAGTCTGGAGAAAGTAATTTCAGTTGAATAATGAGGTTAGAAGCCAGACCATTAAGAGTTAAGAAGGGAGTGAGAGGAGAGGAAGTAGAGGAACAGATTACAGACAAATTTCTCAAGGAGTAAAGCAAAAAAATGGAGGAGAGACATAGGATGATAGTTACCAGGGACAGACAGGTGAGGCGAGGGGGTTTTGAGGATGGGGAAGACATAGGCATGTCTGTAGATGAGAGGTTAAAGATTAGTGGGAGTCAATGACAGGGGGTAATCTGGAGAAGACAGGACAGAATGCTAGCTGGTTTAGGCTAGGAGGAATCAAGGCATAACTCCAGAGGAGTGAAGCAGTTAATGGCAATTGCTCCTGTCCTCACTTTTGGGGCAGGGGACTAATCATTATTTCCAATTCATGGCAGTTCTTCAATCCAATCAGCGTAGTAAATGCCTCTATTACTGGTAGTAGCACCAGCAGTAATGCCTTATCACAGTCTCTTATGAAGGCATAGTTGGGGATCAAATAACCTAAGCCCTATGATATCTACCCATATGATCTCAAGATGGAGTGGTGTGATAGAAGCAATAATTCCTAGGACTAGCTTTTACTAAGGCCTTAGTTCTTTTCCTTATTATGTATTGAAACTCTCCTTAAACCTTGATTGCATAAGAAGACTTGCTTAGGATGCTGACATGACTTCCTGACTTCCTGATCAGCAAAAAAAAAGTCCACAAAGAGTTCTAGTTCCTTCTCTGACACTTCTAACTATGTATCATCACTAAGAAGCTGTGCTCAGATTAATTAAGGCAGTGTTCTTATCAAATATCCTTCCCTGCTTTGGCTATGTCGACTTCCACTTATTACATATTGAATGACCTCCAAGTGTCTCATCAAATATGAAATCTCATCTCAGCTTAACTGTTTACACAGACTTTCAGCAAGAAATCTCAGCAAAGCAGAGCAAGAAAACTCAGTTCCATGACATCATTAGCTGGGGGATTTTAGGGTAATATATCCATAGTAATACATGTTACACATATGTATCTTGCCTCCTCCATTAGAAGGTAAGGTCCTTGAGGTCAGGGATTATTTCACTTTTGTATCTGTACTCCCAGGGCTTGAAAGCACTTAATAAATGTTTGTAGACAGGCTATGGTAATACAGAGAAACATGGAAAAATATATATATGATCTGATACCAAACAAAGAAAGTAGAACCAGAAAAACAACATATACAATAGAAGAATAACATAAATGGAAATACCATTATGACCAAAACACATGATAGTTTTAAGCTTTAATAGCTAGAAAAAGAGTTAGGAATGCAACAGTATATCTCTCTTCCTTCTTTGCTGAGGTAAGGGTTTATAGGTATGGAATACCTATAATGTCAAACTTAGTTTATTTGCTGAATTGGTTGGGTTTTTTTCCCTAATTTTTTGTTATAAGAGATGGTAAGAGGAAGAGAAATATATTGGGAAATGTTGGAGATAAAAAAAAAAATCAATGAAAATGTTCAAAAAAAAAGAAAAGTCTAAAGAGATTCCCTTAGTCTATCAGCAGACTTCTTATCTAGTTTGTAATCAATACATTAACTAACACTTTTTTAACAAGCTACCAGTCTGCCTAATATTCTATCACTCAGCCCATATTTCTTAGTACTCAGTGACTCCCTGCTATCACTGCCAGAGCTATGGAGGAAAATTTGCTCTTCCCATAATAAGTTTGAATTCAGAAAAAATGTTCCCACAGCAATCCAGTGAAGCATGATTAGTACAGCAAAAGAGCCCTGTATTTGAAGTCAGAAGGCCTGAATTCAAGTCCTGTCAATGCCACTTACCAGTCCCTTCGCTTCTGTGATGTCAGTTTTCTTTCCTAACTACATGGGGATGACAAGAGTCTACCATTTGTACTGTGCCACTCAGAGGCCTAACATAAGGAAGGCATGGTGCATGTTGTGGGTACAATATAAGTGTGAGCAATTCTGTTGGTATTAATAGTCTTCTACTACGACAATAAAATTTAAGTTATTATGGATTAACATTCCATGAACTAATCTGAAAAATCTAGCCATTTAAATAGGGTTTCCCCCATGGGAAAATGCATTCTATGTTCCAAACAATAAATATATAAATTAACTTTTTCCCTTCACAATCTTAGGAACTGCTTATATGAAGATTTCATAAAGATAGTCCACTGTGAAGCACTACTAATAAAAGGGAACTAATTTCTAATTATTACTAATAATTACAACTTTGTTAATAACTGCATGCTAGCTTCATCACATATGCCACTGCTTTGATCTCAAGATTTCAAAATTATTTATCTTAATTTTATTTCTATACTTTCAATTTCATAATACCTTATATCAGATTACAGATCCAGCATAAATCACTTTTAAAAATTATAAAAGAATTTTACATTTTGTAAATACTTTTTACATTTACATTTTGTAAATACTTTACAGAAAAGCTCTTTGCCTCCCCAAAGTCTCACCTCTTAAAGCAAACCGGAAGGAATGTGACACTTTCTTAGCAATAGTCTTCACAGCATCACTTTCAGAAGGGAAATAAAATAGGAACAGGAAATTTGGTGGAAAAGTTTTAATGAAGACGCTGGGCAGATCATCAATGGATAAAGGCTTATAGCGTATAGAATTCTTATGTTGTGGTTTGCTCTTCACACGAAGTGAAATTAAAACTCCAGCACACAGTAATGGCAATAAGACTTCTACGAGGCTTGATAGAAGCATGCGCTTCTAAAAGAAAAATGAAAACTTTCATGTTAAACCAAGACAAGGCCCAAATAAAAGGCATGTGGAGGGTTCTTCTTCAAGGCTCACTCAACTGTGTCCAAAAAAAGAAAAAGAAGACCTGAAACGAGAGTCATCTGGAAGGGTTCTAATGATCTTTTCTGTAATAAATTGAACTCACTTCAAAAACATTTTCTTTAAAAATGATATAATTATATACACACACATGTATATGATGATACCATCCATTGTAAAAATGGTATATTTGCTAATCAGGTGGTGTTTATTGTCTTTCAAAAATTATTTTAAATAGCTAGTCTCTCCCAAAGTCCCACAGTTTTTTTTGACAGATGCATCATATACCTACCTTTAAGATATAATTTTTCCAGAGAAGAAGCTTAAACAGCCTACACATTGCCATTCTTCTGTTTTGAAGGAAAGCTCATCACTATATAGAGGGGCCAAAGAAAAATAAAAGTTACATATTTAACAAAAATATTTAAATTTTTACTGTTTTGCTGAAAGAGGCAAGGGGGAGAAGCAATCAATGCAATAGAAATATTTTTCTTCCCTAAGTGTTTTCTTTACTCTCTCTTTTCTGATTATTTCTAAGCCTTAAGTTAAAAAACACAAACACAAACAGGAAAACAAGACTATTTACAGGGTTTTTTAAGTCAATACTTTTGAGTGCATTTATGTCACTGTTCTTTTGTGCTATATATGAGTTTTTTATAGGCAGTGACTGGTGGGGTAGTGGGAAAATTACTGGATTTGAATCAAAGGACCTGGGTTCAAATTCCATTACTATTACTTACTACTTATGTGACTGTGCAAAGCACTTAACTTCTATAGGATCCAATAGAAGGTTAGACTAATCCGAGGGCCATGAGTTAGCTGGTGCAAATGTATACGGCCAATTTATATTTAGCCATCCCCAGACCCAAAAGCATGTTTCACATGCTAATCAGCTACCTTCCTCCACCCCCTTGCCAATGACCCTTCTACATCCATGTTCTTGGTGACTTAATCTACTTAGATGCGGAAATATCAGCCTAAGGCTCTGCTATTGTGATTGGTGTGCTGGCAACTACAGCATCCATCATGGTCTTCCCTAGACCCCTGGCCATCACTTTGTCCTTGTCAGGCCTCATCCTGCTTGCACTGCACCACTCTACTTCCCACAATGTGTCTGATGCCCCCAGCAATGAGCAGCAACTGTGCACCTTGAGGGAACACACAATCATAGCCTTTGAAGATGTGAAGCCATGGGTGTCTAACTTCACCTACCCTGGAGTTCACAATTTCTCCCAGCTTGCTCTGGACCCCTCCAGGAACCAGCTCATCATGGGAGCCAGGAACTATTTCTTCAGACTCAGCCTTACCAACATCTCTCTCCTTCAGGCTTCAGAGTGGAGCTCCAATGAGGAAACACACAAGTCCTGCCAAAGCAAAGGGAAGACTGAAGAGAAATGTCAGAACTACATTCGGGTCTTGATTATGTCAGGCAGGAAGGTTTTCATGTGTGGCATCAATGCTTTCTCTCTGGTGCATTCAAGCAGACAGGCAGGGAACCTCAGCCAGACAACTGAAAAGATTAATGGTATGGCCGCTGCCCCATGACCCACAACACAACTCCACAGCAGTGATCTCAGAGCAGGGTGAGAGCTGTATGCTGCCACTGCCATAGACTTCTCCGGCCAAGACACTGCCATCTATGTAAGCCTGGGCAGCGGCCCACCTCTTCACACTGTTCAGTATGACTCCAAGTGGCTTAATGAGACAAACTTTATAGCTGCTTATGACATTGGGCTGTTTGCCTACTTCTTTCTGCACGAGAACGTTGTGGAGCACAATTGTGGGTGTACCGTCTATTCACGTGTGGCTTATGTGTGCAAGAATGATGTGGATCCGCGCTTCCTGCTGGAAGACACATGGACTACCTTCATGAAGGCCCAGTTGAACTGTTCCCACCCACGGGAGAACTCATTCTACTACAACAAACTCCAGAGCACATTTCATCTTCCTGAGCAGGACCTAGCCTATAGTGTCTTCACCACCAATGTAAATAGCATCGCTGCTTCTGCTTTCTGCACCTCCAACCTCAGTGCCATCTCCCAGGCCTTCAATGGCCCCTTCTGCTACCAGGAGAATCCAAGGGCTGCCTGGCTCCCCAGTGCCAACCCTGTCCCCAATTTTCAGTGTGGGACCTTGTGAGATGTTGGCACCAATGAAAACCTGACAGAGAGGAGTCTTCAGAATGACCAGCATCTGTTCCTGATGAGTGAGGTGGTTCAGCTTGTGACCCGGGACCCCTGTATCACACAGGACAGTGTCTGCTTCTCTCACTTGGTGGTGGATCTTGTGCAGGGCAAGGACACCCTCTACCACGTGCTTTACATTGACACCGAGTCAGGCACAGTCCTCAAGACTCTGTCCACAGCCAGCCACAGCCTCCGTGTCTGCTACCTGGAGGAACTGCAGATGCTGCCTCCAGGGCATCGGGAGCCTCTACATAGTAACCTGTGCATCCTTCACAATGCTCAAGTGCTCTTTGTGGGGCTGCACAATGGGGTGTTGAGGATCCTGCTGAAGAGGTGCACTGCCTACTGCACCAAGAAGAATGCCAGGGGGTTCAAGACCCATACTGTGGCTGGGATGGGAAGCAACAACACTGCAGCACCCTGGAGGGCAGTGCCAACATGATTCAGAATATCATAACTTGTCCAGTGTGGAACCTGACATGGGTTGGGGGCTTTGGGCCATGGTCTCCATGGCAACTCTGTGACCATGTAGATGGAGATAACTCAGGCTCCTGCCAGTGCCAAGCCCAAGTCTGTGACTCCCCCCGTCCGTGCTGTGTGGGACGAGCCTGCCCTGGACCTACCATCCACATTGCCAGCTGCTCCAAAAATGGGGCATGGAGACCATGGTCATCTTGGGCTTTGTGCACCTCTTGTGGGATTGGCTTCAAGATCCAACAGTGGAGCTGCAGAAACGCTGCCCCCCAACATGGGGGCCAAATCCGTGTAGGCAAGAACTGGGAGGAGCGGTTCTGCAATAAGAATAGCCCCTGCCCTGTCCCAATTTTCTGGGCTACTTGGGGCTCCTGGAGCAAATGCAGCAGCAACTTTGGGGGCAGAGTCTACTCTAGGCACCGAACCTGTGAAAATGGGAATTCCTGCCCAGGCTGTAGTGTGGAATACAAGACATGTAACCCTGAGAGCTGCCCAGAGCTTAGGAAGGAGCACCCCATGGACATCATGCCTCCCAGTGAATGTGACTCAGGGAAGAGCCTGCCAAGAGCAGCGATTCCGTTTCACGTGCTAGGCCCCCACTCCCTGACCTTCACAGCCCTCAGTTTGAGAGGAAGAGGACGAAGACCCAGTCTTACCCTGCAGATGGCTCTGGAGCCTGCAACACTGATACCCTAATGGATGATCTCCTTCAGAGTGGAAATAATTCCCCTCATGTGGTAAGTGAGGGCTGGGCAGCCTGGGGATCTTAGTCATCCTGTTCTGAAGACTGTGAATTGGGTTTCCAGTCTTGGAAGAGAACCTGCACAAACCCAAAACCCTGAAACAGGGGCCTGCCCTGTGTGGGAGATGTCATCGAGTATCAAGACTGCAACCCCCAGCCCTGCCCAGTGCGAGGTGCTTGGTCACGCTGGACCCAATGGTCCTCGTGCTCAGCCTCCCGTGGAGGAGGCCACCATCAGTGAACACATTCATGTACCAGTCCTGTCCTTTCCCCTGGTGAAGATATCTGCATTGGATTGCACATGGAAGAAGCACTTTATGCCACCCAATCCTGCCCAGGTGGCTGGTCATTGTAGGCTGAGTGGAGCCTGTGTGGTGAGGATGGAACCCAGAGCCAGAGCCGTCACTGTGAGAAATTTGACCTTGGGACCACTCCCTGCCCTGGAAATGGCAGGTGGATCCAGACCTGCCCATACAGTGAGATCTCTGTGATCCTGCCTGCTTCCAGCATCAACGATGCCACCAGCTGTGGAGGGTTCGGCCTTATCCATTTGGTGGCTACTGGTGTTTCCGGCTTCTTGGGCTCGGGCCTCCTGACATTTGTTGTATACCTGTCCTGCCCATGGCCGACCCAGGGAGTCCACAGTTGTCCACCCCACCATCCTCAACCACCTGAACTACAAGGGTGGGGTGGGAGCACCTCCAAGAATGAGAAATACACACCCATAGAGTTCAAGACATTGAACAAAAACAACTTAATCTCTGATGACAGGACCAACTTCTACCTGCTACAACAGATCAACGTGTATACAATGACCTACTACACCAGCTCCCTGGGCAAACACAGCTTCCGAAAAGAGGCCTCCCCAAGACAACAACGCTTCACCAATAGCTAATGATACTGCCCCTCTGGGGGATGGGCCTTCAGGCACCTCACCAGCCTGGGTACCTACCAGGGGTAGACAGTGCAATTTGTTGGTTTTCTTCTTGGTCACCAACATTTCCCTCTTGAGGCTCTGCCCAATGAGCTCTGGGACTAGAATATTCTCTTAGTGGGGAAGGGAAGGAGTCTTAAACTAGAGTGCTCTGGTTGGAGATGACCAGAGAGGGAGAGGGTCAGCATTTTGGCTGTCATGGGGCTGTGACGTCCCAACTCAGCCCAGAGGTTTTGCAGCTGTTCCCCTTCTCCTCCTTACCCACTCACTACCATCCAGCTACATGCTGGACCATGGACCCACTAAGGATGTGAGGAATTTGGGGAGTTGAGAATGGGAAGAAGGTGGGATATTTTGATTTTGGCTGAAATGACTCTTCCTTGGCCAGTATTGAAAAGAATGGGCTTCATCCTTATCCATATTTTGCTACATCAGGAAACAGGCCCCACCCCTAGCCACAGCTGGCTCCATTTGGGAAAGGAAATGCAAAAAAAAAGTTTTTATACACACACACACACACACACACACACACACACACACATAGCATTTTGGTGGCTGAATGGAGGATGGATTGAAGTAGGGACAGACTGGAGGCAGGCAAACCCACCAACAGGCTAATGCAAAAATAGTCCAGGTATGCAATGATAAGGGCTTGCACCACAGTGGTGGCAGTGTCAGAAGAGAGGAGGGAATATACTAGAGATGTTTCAGAGGTAAAACAGGCTTCAGCAATAGCTTGGATGTGGTAGGAGGGGGAAAAGAGATAGTGAGGAGTCAAGGATAACTCCGAGGTTGCAAACCTGTGACTACTATGACAGTAATGCCCTTGATAGATATGGAGAAGTTCAGAAAAAGGAAAGGGTTTAATAAGAAAAGTAGTGAGCTCTGTTTTTTACCCTGTTTTAAATTTGAGATGTCTCCTGGAAATCCAGTTTGAAATCTCCATCAACTATTGATAATATGGGACTGGAAACGAGGATTTAGGACTAGGGCTGGATTTATTGATCTGGGAATTATCTGCATAGAGATGATAATTAAATCCATGGGAGCTAATTAGGTCACAAAGTGAGATAATATGGAGGAAAAAGTGAAGAAAGTCCAGGAAAGAATTGAGGGAAACCTACAGTTAGCGTGTGGGGCATGGAAGAAGAATAGCAGGGAGGCGGAGCCAAGATGGCAGAGTAAAAGCAGTGACTTGCTTGAGCTCTCCCCCAAACCCCTCCAAATACCTATAAAAAATGGCTCTAAACAAATTCTAAAGCAGCAGAACCCACAAAAAGACAAAGTGAAACAAATTTCCAGCCCAAGACAACCTGGATGGTTGACTGGAAAGGTATATCACACCTGGCTGGGAGAGGAACGCAGTTAGGCTTGGGCATGCAGGCCACAGTGAACCTGGAGTAGGCCTCTGAGGACTGAATCACAGGCATCTATGGCAGTTTAAAGACTTCTCAACCCCTGAACACCAAACACAACTTAGAAAGTCAGTGGGGAAAATCTGTTTCTGCGGTGAGAGAGAAGCACAGGGTCTCAGCCCCATTCCCCAAGCTCGGCCCTGGGGTGGTGGCTGCCTCCTAAGCTTCTGGTACACAGACTAACGTGGAATCGAGTGGCTGATCAGAGGGGGTTGCAGGGATCTCTCTATTGGTGCAGTATTCTCTTGCTTTGCCTGTGCTTGGATCTGAGTCATGGTTCTGGGTGGCGGTCCTGGGGTGAGGAGGAGTGCAGAAGTAGTGGAGCTTGTAGTGGCAATGGAGAGAAAATCCTCCTCACAGTTCCAAGACAGGAAAGAGTGCTTGTGGTCACTCACAGAGCAGAGCACAGGACAGGAAAGGAGTAAACACCTTGCCCTTGATCATAGCACCTTGGAAGAACTGAAAATTTACAGGTCCCTAGAAGTATCTCTAAAAACAGCTGCACAAAACCCCTGAAGCTTGGGACAGTACATTCTCCACACTGGA